TTTTTTTTTTTTTTTTTTGGAGTCGAAGTCACGTCATTATTTTTGGATTTCAATTTGTATCACATGTAAAAAGATAAGCGGACTTACTACGTATTTTGTATCTGTATGTACAATTTATGTTGTTTCAAATAAAAATTTCAAACTTTGCTCTATTGCGTTGTTTTGTTGTGATTATTGGAAGCTCAAATGGTTCCAATTTCTTGTGAATATTGTGTAGAGATTTGTTGCATTTTATTTCAAGTTGATTAGTCCAAATTACAAAGAAATAATGTCGAAATCTTCTTAGAAGTAAGTCGCAATAAGTTGCATAATACCGTAACATTGATATTGGATCAGACATCTAATTGGTCCCATGTTTTAATTGTATTATATTGATTTTTAACTTTTATTTATTGTCATATTTACATTTTTGACTTATTTTTCATCTCATTTTTATATCAATCTTCCATTAATTAGCATAGGGTAATTATATTCACACAATTTTTTTTTATATGTACATTTTAAATACAAGAAAGGTTTTCAATATTTGCTCACTTTTGCTTTTATTTGCTTTGACCGTTTTCTCATCGTATTGTTATTCTTAACCTTTAACTAATTAACATATTTTACCTTTAATCACGATTTTTGTCCAAATACTCTACTAACGTGCATTGAATAGAGGGGGCAAATATTTTGTTTAACTTTTGTATAAGTTATTTGTTTCGGTTATTTAAAAATATGAGAGATAAATATGTCTTTTTCATCCTCATAACAAACATTTTGAACGAAAATCATCTCTATAGACAAGATGTGAAAATTAATAAAAAGTTAATGATAAAAAAAATTAAAAAAAGTTGAGAACTTAAATGTTAAAATAAAAAAGTTTAAAGATAAAATGTGGTGTAGGTAATAAAAATTGTAGTGTGAATATATGTACCCATTAGCATGTTTCTGTCCAAATATCTATTGAAAAATGATTCAAGTACAGGCAATTTTTACCAGAATTGGACCAGATTTTTGAATTCCAACTCACATGTAGTGGACCCCATGTATAAAATATTGAAAAAAAAAAATTCCTACCAAATGTTGTGTGTAGTCTGTAAGTTGAGGAATTTGAATTCATGTACCTATAGCAAAGTCCAAATATATTACAAGTATATAAAATGACATATTTGACCATAGTATTTTTAAATTAGAA